TTTGGTGTGTCATTATTTTGAATTCCATAGGTGCCTCTCCGCGTGGCAAGAAAAGGAATTCATCCGTTCAAGATCTGTGTGACTCTCCTTCAAAAAAGCCCAAAATAGACTGTGCAAAGACCCCAAAGCAGAAGGGTGCTCAAATCATAGGTGATGACAAAAGCGGCCCTTTCCAAGAACAAGGTAAAACAGCTGCACTGTCAAAACGAGCATCAAAGGGTGGTAAACATAAAAATGAAATTACACCGCAGTCTGGTTCATCAGACCTACAAGAAGTTCGCAGTGCCGCTAAAGCAACAAAAGATAAAGGCAAACAGAGGAAGGCAAGTCCTTTGAAACAAAATCATGTAGCTACTCCAGAGGATCTCCAAAAGTCACCAAGGAAGGACACGGTTGTGGGGAAAAAGTTGAAACTGGACCTAGAAGGAGAAGTCAAAACAAAGGATGAATTAAAGGCTGGAGAGAAGAGTTCATCTGAAGAGTCTAGTGATGACGAGGGCGTGGCATGGGAAGATGTTGATGGTGAGAGGAGTATGCAGTTACACGCTTGTTTGATTGGAACAAAATATTTGTTTGCTCGTACAAATTATAGCCTTTCATTGCTGAACTATATTAACTATACTTTGGTTCATTAAAAAAGCAAAAATGGTATTACAGTAAAATCTCAATTTTTGGAATACTTAATTTTTCAAAACTCCCGATTCTTTGAATCAAGTCACTTCCCTCCACTAATTTTATCCTCAATTTCTTCAACTACTCGATTTTTCAAACCATTTTTTGTTTCCCTTGCAATTTCAAAAAATTGAATAATTTCCACTGTCAATAATAATGATTTAATTTGTTTAGCCATGCATTAGCTTTCACATACATTGAACAATGAAACTGCCCTGTTAACATACAGGCATTTAATTTATGGGGTCTGTCAGAATGGCAAAATAATAAATTATTATGATATACGCTGTACTCTGATAGATGTATTCCTTTTTTTTTTCTTATAGAGGCAAAAGTTGTTGACCATGTGATGGATGATCATGCAGCCTCAACATCACATCACCAGCACTCACCCAGCAAAAAGAATGTCGAGATTAGCATCACAGTACCTGGAGCAAAAAAGAGGAAGAAAGGATGGTAACTTAGCATCTTGATGAAAATAGCTCTTGAAGACTTTTCTTGCAAAAGTCAAGCATGCTATTGTTAAATTTTCTGAATTGCATTTTCACCCAGTTTTGGAGGCCGACCATTTTCACTGGCACTCAGACTGGAAATTGTGCTGCTCCAGAAAATATCTGTCCTATATTTATACCCCTCTTGTGGAGTGTTCTTTGATTTGAAACCACCAGCCCCTTGCACCCCCCCGCCCCCCCCCCCCTTTGAAATTCCAGCTTTGGTTCATGCTTTCCTTTAAAAAATTTGGCTCTTTTACCCCCTCTCTCTAGAATTTCCAGTAACCCTCCTTGGGGTGGGTATGGGTATTTTCTGGAACCACACAATATTATAAAGGCCACTTTAGTGCTCTTTCTATCCCTTGAATAAAAAGAGACTACCAGTATTCTGGGTTGTGCAAAATAATCTTTAGTTAATGGTAGATTATTGGTATGTACGCTATGTACATGTAAGCTTATACTGCAATTTTTTGTGCTGGCAATTGCAAATAAGGTTTACATGTATGTGCAAATAACATGTGTACCTCTACAGTGTTAAGAACACGCAGATAAGACAAAAACGGTTATATAGGGTAATAAAGTAATTGTTTATTGTTAATGTTTTATAGAAAGAAACATACTAAGAATTTCTGCTAACAATAATCATCATCACCCTTTGTGTCATTGTTTTTTTTTTCAGGAGTCAGGAAGATGTTATGAAATATATTAAACGAGCAATCAATAGATTTAGAAAAGATGTTTCTATCAAAGTTCATAAGGTACTTGGCAAAATTTTACAGCCTTTAGATTAATTGCTGACTGTTCCAAATGTATGCACATGCACATGTATGTTGTCTTCTTCTAATCACTAATGCGAGGAAAAGAAAACAGCTGTAGTGTGCTGACGGCATTAAATTTGATACATATATATCATGACAGACCTCTTAAGGTATGTGTTTGTTGAAGCAATTACAGCTGATATAGATCTTTTTTCANAACAAGAAACGTTCCCTCACTCAGTCAGTTGCACCAACTTGGATTGCCTATAGCTCAATGTATACTGTTGTATATGTGTTCATTAGTGCAGTAACATAAACATACTAGAATGATAACTCTTTTGTGCAGACTACAAAGAAGACTCCCAAAGGAAGTAAAACAGCACTAAAAGGCACTCTTGAGGGCCATGCAAAGAATTCAGCACAAGCTAAGAAGCAGAAGGATACCATTAAACCAGAGGGCATCAAAACAGAAACTGAATCTGATCCACCAGCAACTAAATCAAAAGATGGCTCTCATAGTGGTAAATTAAAGAAGGAACAGACAGAAAAAACTTTGAAAAAGAAGAGTGAGAAGTTATTAAATAACACAAAGAGTGCTACAAAGAACCCGAAAAATAATAGTAAAGCCAGTAAGGCTGAGTCGGAAGACAAGAATAATACAAAAGACATAGCACTGAAGCAAAATAATAGGAAAAGACCATTACGCAAAAGAAAGAAGGTAGACTACTCCTCTTGTGGGAATGAGAGTGGAAGTGAAGCAGATGAGGAATGGAATGAAAAACTGACAAGTGAAAGTGAGGAGTCAGAAGACTTGAACAACTCTAGGGAGAACTCTAAGAAGAAAGACAAAACTCCTTTGGTGAGGAGAAGAGTGCCTTCTGCAGACAATGGTGGTGGCACACCAAATGAAGGGAGTGGGACCTCATTTGTTGATCTTGTGGATGATGATAGTGATTTTGAAGTCTCAAGCAAGCCATTGGTGAAAAGAAGAGTATCTGCAGGTTCATCAGGAAGCAAGAAAAAGGCCATGAAGATTATTAGCTCTGATGATTCAGATGAAAGTCTCAAATGTCTTGGAAGTGTTTGTAATGAAAATGGTAAATAATTAAAATAGGTACAGTGTACATGTAATTGCATATCTTTGTGATGAGGGTTCAGCCCATTTACCTGAATGTGTGAATTAAAAATTATTGTGATGCTTTATTTGCCAAATAGAAGATGCTTTCTAACAAAACAGCACATACTTGAGGTTTCGAAAAACTGCTGACCTCAAATTGACCTCAAAAGAGCATTATCTCTCCTATTTGGTTTAGGATGTGACATGAAAAAAGCGAAAATATTTACATTTGAGAGGGAGCCATGATTGCACTGGCAACACAGCATCCACGGGTATACAGCAGCTACTGTATAGTCTAAAATAGAGTATTACTATACTGTACTTCTAGCCTCCAATACTTTATAGCCTCCAACAATTAAGCACCCAGTCTAAACAACAAACCTATTATCACTGCCTTGATTGATTGATTGATTGATTGATTGATTGATTGATTGATTGATTGATTTTTTTTTGTTTTATTGAACAGATATTAATTGGTGGACAGAAGTGTATTTGCCTGTCGACAAAAAATGGATATGTAAGTGTACAATTGCAAGCTTTAATGTTTCCCATTTGCTTAAAATATAAGAAAAAAGATAGTGAATGAAGGACCTGGTTTACAAGTTACACAGCTAGAATGGTTAGTTTCTGCAGCAACTGGTGAGAGATGGTTGCAAAGAAACAAGCTGTGTGTGTGTCATGGAGGGTGCTAGTAAAGTCAGTTTCTCTGCACATGATCCCTTAATGATGTATACATCATCAGTTTCCTAACCCTTTAAGACTATAGTTAGCAATAACATGCTAAACAAGTGGTATTGCCTCGTGAAGACTATTATTTTCGATGCAATTAAAAGAGTCTGTTGTCACAGAGAAGTAGGTATATTATTTTCCAGAAAGACATTTTTTATTACATTAAAGCCTAAACTAAATGTACATGTGTCTACCCTTGCAAATTGAACCCATTGCATTTAAACCCCAAAGCCTGTCCACCACCTCTGTCGCATACAATAACATAACTGTTTGCAATGAGAGGCTGATTTTACCCTAAAACCAAGTTATGCTCCTGTGGAAGCTAAGAGGTACCAACCAAGACACTACATGTAATTCTAGTGTAACTGTTTTCTTCCATTATTTCATCTGTTTTCAGGTGTCCACCTTGAATCTTCCAGCGTCAATCATCCCGAGCTCTGTGAAAAACAGGCAACCCAACCTATGGTTTATGTTGTCTCATTTGATAACAGTGAGTACGGTGAACTTGAATGCTGCAGTATATTTTCATTACATGTATATGTACCTATCTCATTCTTCCCACGCCAGCACTTAGCCATTTGACAGCTTGAGAAAGATAAAGGTAAATCAAAAACTGCTGTCAGTAACAAGTTAGGTAAGGTACAATGTAATGTTCTGAACATTACCTGTAGTGAGTTTCTTGTGCTGACAAGGGCCTAGCTCTCAAAGCATCATCTTCAGTAACTCACTGCAATGGTTAATTTACCTTCACCTACTTCAAACTGATAAATAGCTAAACATTTCACTTGCCTGCTGATACAGCTTCACAGTTTCTTAGAAACATGGAAACTAGTAACGAAAATGGATTTTTGCTTCATCTTTCATTTGTTTGTTTTTCAGAAAATGCTATCAAAGATGTTACCAATAGATATGCTTCTTCCTGGATGTCTAAGACCAGGAAACTTCGCATTGATTCAGATTGGTGGGATGACACCCTTCAGCCTTACAAATCAAGAAATAAGGTATCTTAAGTTGATCCCTTCACAAGCAACTCATGCAGTACCACTCAAATAGACATTAGTGTCAGTGATGACCTCTGTTTTATGCAACTTTTTAATATTTCAATTTTAATCTTTCTGGACAGAAAATGGATCAAATGGAAGATTCACTCCTTGAAGGTGGGTTTACTAGCTACCAGTTGCTCAGAAATAATGTTATCTACATGTACCAGAGACGTATTTTCAATGTCCAGTACTTCATGGGATTTATTTGTGTAACTAAGAACTTAACTGATCGAAAAAAATTATTGATTAGTCAATGGATTGATTGATTTATGACTGATTACATTTTCAGACATTTTGTGCAGCCATGAATCTATTTCATTCATACACTTTTCCATTATTATTCCCTCCAGATCAGCTACTTGAGAAACCTTTGCCTACCAGCATAACTGAGTTTAAAAACCATCCACTGTAAGTATCAATAAATGGTAATTTTTGCTACATTAATTATAAATCTGTGTTTCCGTTCGGATTTAACAATGGGCCACCTTTGTTTCAACGCCTGAAACAAATACCCACGAGGAAAACTTGTAATACAAACAAAAAGAGTAATTATGAAATATCAAAGTCAACAAGACGATAGAGTTACCAGTTTGAACTCCTCTAGCCTCACAAATCTTCCTATGGAACTGTTTTAAAGTAGTAACTGCTTGTCACATGAAGCAACATCAACCATTGTCAACAAACAGCACAGAATGTCTCCTATTATAGCAGGAATTACTAAAGTTTCAACCATGTTTTGAGATTGACATGCTGGCCAGTTTACTAGCTATTAAGTTGCAAAACACATATTTCTGGTTGTTTGCAGATATGTGCTAAAGAGGCATGTCTTGAAATTTGAAGGTTAGTGTGAGGTAGAACAACATTACTGCATGAGGTTATCATGGGATATAATCGCCATCCATGTTACTCTGTTAGTGCTTGTTTGCAGTTTCTTCTCCATGTACAGTACCTGATCGCTTCACACTAAATAGGGTTTCAGCCATAAGGTTTCAGTTGTAGAGTCATAGATGCTCTTCTCTTTGTACTAGATTACTTTCTTTCTTCATCTTCGGTCTTTCCCTCCATTTCTCCCTTTCTTTTGTCTTTTTTTTTTCTGTCCATCAATCTCTCTGTCCATCTATCCATGCATGAATGACACCGTCTCAACAAAAATTTTAGTGCTCTATCAGTAGTAACTGGGGTCACTGAAGTTTCCATTCCAGTTTCATGTATGTACTGTCATAGCCAGCAGCACCGTTACAATCAGTCCTATTGCTCCATGTAATTTGGAAGGGTAGGTGACATCCTGATAGTGATTTATAATTTATTATACTGATTTGTTTTGTTTATTCCATAGCCATATACCCAGAAACTGCAGCCATTTTAGGTTACTGTCGTGGTGAGGCAGTGTACTCAAGAGAATGTCTTCATATGGTTGGTTTTGATACTAAGCATGCCCATTCGGCAAAGTTAATATTTATTTCAACTGCATCCAACACAACCCTTTTTGCCACAATACATGTTATATCATGTATCTCTCTCCAAGATGTTGGTTACAAGATACTTAAAATAATTATGTTCTTGCCAGTAGCATTACTGGACACAGTTTCCTGCCACTAAATTCCAAAAACGCAATACAGGAATAAAAGAAAAACCAAGATCATCTAGTTGGACTGTACAGTTTCCTACAAGCCAAACATTCATCCGTAGTAAAAAAAAAATGATGTTTTGAAGCCCAAAATCTGGTCGTTTTACACTACGATGCAGTATGAAACACCTCTAGGGCATTTGGAAATTTAGTCTTGGTATTGAGTTTATCAAAAATTATCTTAATATGTTCTTATGTTGTTTTTTCTTGTAGCTGCACACAAGGGAAAAGTGGTTGAATGAGGCTTTAGTTGTCAAGGTACATGAAACCTCANTCATTATTATAGTACAAGATATCTTTCTTTAAAAATATTTAAAGATATTAAAGAAAGCAAGAAATGGAGACGACCAGAATATAGTAAGACTAATTAATGCCCTTAAAATACTGTATATTACCAATTTTTAAAACGCAGATCACTAGTTTAGTCGATTCAAGTGTAGTCTATCTCCAGTCAAACGTATAGTGTAGTCTATCTCTAGTGTAGTGTAGTCTACTCTATTCTAGTCTAGTCAAGTCAATTCAAGTGTAGTCTATCTTAGTCTAGTGTGTTGTAGTTTATTCTATTCTGGTCTAGTCAAGTTAATTCAAGTGTAGTCTATCTCCAGTCAAACGTATAGTGTAGTATTGTCTAGTCTAGCTCGCATTTTTAGGTGTGTAGACGTATAAGTCAAAGTCTTGGTTGAATTTACTTTGTAGGGAAAAGTACCAAGGAATGAGTATGGCAATGTAGAGTTGTTCCTGCCTTGTATGCTTCCTCCAGGAACAAAACATATTCAAAGTACGTTGTGTTGTTTAGCCAATGGAGTCATTCTTGTCGCCTCCATCTTCACTGACGATTTCACTACACATCCCTTGCGATACGTAACCATTGTTGCCCAAGGATAGTTTATAGTACAATGAAACCTGCATTAAGCAGACCCCATATTAAGCGGACACCCTCTATTAAGTGCACACCAGCTTGAGTCCCAAAATTTCCTTCCCAAATTTACTGTTAAATAAACCTGCATTCAGCGGACACCTCTGTTAAGCGGACGCGGACACCAATATTAAGCCATTTTGTTACAGAAAACCTGCAATAAGCGGCCACTTCAAGGGCTTTTTGCTTCTACAAGTTCATCTCAGACTCCTTTAACATTGTTCAGCGATGTCGTTTTAAAGCTAAATAGATTATTCCAGATTGATGCATTGACTGACTGGACATTCTGCTATGAGCAGTCTTCGAGCTTATTGCACAATATATTAGGACCAGTTTAGAGCGGACACCCTGTATTAAGTGGACACTAGTGAGTGGCCCAAGGGTGTCCGCATAATACAGGTTTCACTGTAACATTCATTTGAATGTCCAGTGTATACGAAGATGTAGCCTTGTAACTGGCGCTTGCCTGGCTGTGTACGTGTAGTGCTTTAGGTTGCTATAAGATGCAACAAGAAATCAAAACTAAGTGTTATTTCTTTCATTGTCTGTTTTTAAGTTAATGGAATCCAACGAGTTGCAAAGAAACTTGGCATTGATTGCGCCGGAGCTGTGGTTGGATTTGATTTTCATTGTGGCTTCAGCCATCCAGTGTAAGTATCCACTGTAATGTTATAGCCTGGGGGGACTACCATGTGGAAAAGTTGAAAAACGTTGAATTAGACCCCAGAGTGGACCAGTTTGGGCGTGGCTGGAGGTTTGTTTAACCCTTAAAAGATACCACTTGAAACAGAACTGACAGCGTTTGTTTTATTATTACTTCAAATGCACCCTAAAAGATACCTTGACGGCAAAAAGTAGTGGCGTTTCGTCATCAACACCCAAATTGAGACTAAAACCCTGTGAGTTACACCCCCCTAGAGAGACGAAGAGCGTCCCCGACCTTTTCACGTGGGAGTACCCCTTCCCCAGGTATTGTCTTTTCGTTAGCAATCCTTACATCGACAGATTTTTTGCTATTGTGAAGCAATCATATTGTGAATCTAGTTTTGGTTGCAGTAGTGAGAAGATAAGCATTGTTTGTTGCATTGAGACAATTCAGAGGCGTTTTCTTTTTTTGTCAGTAATCGGCATGAGGAAGGAACGATCATTTTGGAACCGTTTTGAAATAAAACTCTTTAATGTTAAAAAGGAAATTAATTTTTACATATGTTGTGTTGTATTTATAACAGCATTGATGGTGTCGTGGTTTGTGAGGAGTTTGAGCAAGTGCTGCTGGACGCGTGGCAAGAAGAAGAGGAACAAGCCGAGAAGAAGAAGGCAGAGGTATGTTAATAACACTGTCTATAGAAACCGTAATGTACTGCACATTAAATTTCTAATCTACATTGTCCCTGTATATCTTGAGCGGTATTCAATTGACTGGCGGAAAACCAAACTCACAGTAATCACTCTGGCCAATCACAAAAGACACAGACAATCCGATGAACCAATCAAAACTCAAAGCAGTTACATCTAGCTGACGTGAAGCGCGGGAAAACAAGTGCGAGCGAGTCACGAGTGGTACGGGCTCTACTTCTTATTGGTTAAGAAAGTAGCACGAGTTTTTTTAAGCCAATCTCTTCGCGAAGTAATGGAAAACCAAAGCTTTCAACACTCAAGTGAAAACGGCTCCTCACGCAAGTTGTGCCCCCAGCTAGGGTAGTAGATATACCAACAATTGTGGGAAAATGATACAGTTTCAAAACTGTTGAGCAGAAATGAAGCTATTCGTTAAACTTATAATGCCTTTTGTTACGACAATTTTTAACATTTTTGCTTTTGCTCAACAGAAGCGTGAAAAACGCATGTTGGCCAATTGGAGGCTTTTAACCAGATCGCTTTTAATAAGAGAGCGACTCAAGAAAAGATACGATACCGAGGTAACTAGCACAGTAAAGTGTGGAAAGTAACATCGCTGTTGACCTTTAGATTTAGCTATGTCACGCAGCAAATTGTAAACATTTTAACGCAAATGGTAACAAATTAAGAAGCAAAAGGTAACACTAACCCGAAACATAACTTTAAACGCAAAATGTCATCTACAAAAAAAATTGTGTTTGTCATGGTAAGTTGGTGTCCGTCCGAAGAAGTTGTTCCAATTTGCTTTCAGAAATTAATATATTTCGAATGAAAGAATCGTTACAGTTTGCGTGAAGTGTTATTTACATTTCGGGTTTATGTCACATTTTGCGGAAAAATTTGTTACTTTTCTGAGTTACTGTTCAATCATTTTGCGTTGTTACCACTCACGGCGTAGCTAGTACTTTTTCTTCGGCGTAACAACATTTAGCACTCTTTTTTTTCTAGGAGACCAGCAATGCAGAAGCTTCAAGCAGTGCCAATGGAAATGACGATGTAGTAACAGACACTTCAGTTTCATGGCCTCTTAACAGACAAGGTAGCGTTATGTTGATTCAGTGTTAGGAGTATTTGTATACACCATTAGTAAATGGCTAATTGTGACCAGAATGCTCAATCGTCAACTAAAATGCTGGTCGTTCATAACTTTGACAACAGCTTCCTCTGTATAGCATACTTATTTTACAAGCATGCGTTAAGTTTCCTAAGGAACTTGCCGGAAACACCCAGAAAAGTAGTGCCCCTCGATCACTTCTGCACGCAGGGTGAAAACAGAGCGAGCAGTAGAAGTCGGGTCTGTTGTCTATACAGCCACAGCTTGGGGTACTTCTACTCCCTGGATGGGATGCTAGTCCATCGTAGGGTTACCCCCTAGCAACGAATACCCCAGTACCCATTTATACGTCTGGGTGAAGAGAGGCACTGTG